AAGGCTCATTTGTCCAGTTTTTTCTTCAAGGACATACTATGAAACTTTATCACCTTATCTTCTATGGCTATTCAGTTCATCCGTTCATAAAGCAATTAGAGTTGTTTAGTGAACATTCATGAATTTTCTATTTAGATTCTCTTTTAAATTTTACAGGGGCAATGGGATGTGTTGAGAAATGGCAGTGATCCTACCATGTGGCATTTTCTAAGAAAGCTATGTGAAGAGGTTTGTTAAGTCTCTCTTCTTAGACCCTCATGCAACCTAAGGGTAGCTGTCTTCATGTACCTAATTGAGAGTATGATTTAAATACCTGTGAGGAATTGTTTCTTGAATGCTGTGCATTCCGTAGAGCATGGGGATGTGTTTTTTATTCATATTTTTATAAGATGGATTTGATGGATAGGATGCTACCAGGAAGCTTATGCCATTTGGATGGGTCTTGTAATCTTCTATTCTTTTTAAGTTTTCTACTTGCTAAAGTTTAAGTGTGTTGATGAGGATCAAATGGACTACTTTTTCAGGCATAGTAGTTGTTGAAGCAGAAGAACCTTGAGAAGGATGATGGTATGTTTCTTGTTCTGAAACCAATTGACATAGTTCATAACTTGTAGCTACTGAATTATAGAAGTTATTTTGCATGCTTGTTTTTCGATGATCAATAGTTCTTATTGCATTCCTTTAATATTATGTATTGAAGCTGTCAGTCTTCCATTGAACTTAATACCAAATTGTCAAATTTTATTAGAAGAGCAAGCAAACACTGAGAAATGTGTTTCAGAGAAAGCAAGTGATGCAAACATATTCGATAGGTTGTCTGATCTGAATGATGTGAACCAATAAATCAACAATGGGGCGCAAACAAATCTTAGTGGCTCTGCATCAGTTGGATCCTTGTTGAAAGATTCGTTTGGGAAATTCTGCAGTTCGTTGAAATATCATAGCATGCCTTCCCTACTTCTGATCATCGCGGTTGTGATGCAACACCAATAGAAATATTAAATGGATAATGAAAAAACCTATTAATATGAAGAAAGAATCAGGTAAAGGGATGGTAGAAGAAGAATCAATAGAAGAACCACTGGAAGAAAGATGGTGAGAAGAGAGAAAATTGCCAAAAGGTACCACAATAATTTTATTTAATCATCAACTACTGAAATTACATAACAAATTATGTTTAAATAGTAAAAAACAAAACCCTAACTAAAACGGGATTGGGCCAATACAAGTCTAATTACATAAATAAGAATCCAGAAATAAAAATAAAGTCCAACTAGAAATAAAATAGATGATGTCCAACTCTCCTGGGATGGGAGAAAAGTCGACCACAACGAGTTGATAGATCACTATAGGCTGCAGTGAATCTGATACTCAAAATGCTTCAAGTTAAGCCATGGGGGGAATAATCTTTCTGACAGACCATGTATCGAAATCCCACGATCGATAGTAATAAAAACTCTAGCTTATTCCCAAAAATATGATCTAACCAAGGGGGACGGTCTTCTCTTCTAACCAAGTATTGATACTGGACTCCAAATAACTAATACTTATGTGCCTCATCTCTAAAATTTTCACATGATTGTACATAATGAGGAACACAAGAAGCACGTTGATCTACCCAACAAACAAGGGAGTACAGATTCTTTCTAACAATTAACATAACATGTTCATTTAAAGTAGCATTAATTTTATCTTTGTGCGCTGTGATGAGTGTTATTGGAGTAGAAATGGTAGTATATGTATGTCAGGGGTCCACATATGAAAGTAGAAAATGATCATCCAAACAATTAAAACGACATTTGTAAGTAACTAAGTTCTCAATAGTTAAAATAGAGTGGTGGCTAAAATATGATAAAAGATCAATGGCACATGTATTCAAACCAACATGTTTTAAAATTTCATAAGGACCAGTACTACGGGCTTGCAATATAACATAATCCCCAATATTAAATTCAAAATTTCGCTTATCCAAATCAGCTTGAAGTATATATAATTGTGGAATGAATGAAAAAAAATATGATTTCTATTATTTCTCAATGAATAAAATTACACGACTCTTATGTCTAATTTATAGTAGAAAGGGAATCAATAAAAAAGGAACATGATCTTCTAAATAAGGCAAAAATAAATTATTCCTAACTAACATAATATACAAAAAAATACATAATCAAATATCCCATAATTTTGGAATTTTTTCACTCCCCCTCAAGTTGGATCATAGATATTAATCATGTTCAACTTGCCAATAAACTTATCAAAAGTTTGTCATGGTAGTCATTTGGTGAAGATATCTATAGTCTGATCTTTGGTTGGAATGTATATCATACATATAGTTCCGTTGTCAACTTTTCCTTGATGAAATGTCTGTCCGCTTCCACATGTTTAGTTCTATCATGTTGAACTGGATTGAGAGAGATGTTGATAGCTGCTTTGTTGTCATAATAGAGTTTGATTAGGACCTTCACTGTAACTTGTATTTCTTCTAAGAGTTTTTTAATCCACAATCCTTCACATATTCTTTTGGCGGCAGCTCTAAACTTTGCTTCAGCACTGCTTCTAGCTACCACATTCTGTTTCTTACTTCTCCATGTTACCAAATTTCCGCACACAAAGGTACAATAACGTGTAGTTGATCTTTTGTCTTCTATTGACCCAGCCCAATCAGCATCAGTGAATATTTCTACTTCCTTTTTTTCATCTTTCTTAAAGACGAGTTCGTTTCCAGGAGAGCCCTTAGGGTATTTTAGAATATTGTAAACAGCTTCTAGATGAGCTTCCTTTGGAGAATGCATGCGTTGGCTTACTACACTAACTGCAAATGCAATGTCAGGTCTAGTATGTGATAGGTAGATTAGTTTTCCAACTAATCTTTGATATTTGTCCTTTTTAACCAATTTTCCACTATCACCTGTTTTTCTGCCAGCATCTATAGGAGTTTCACTTGGCTTACATCCAAGCATACCGGTCTCAACTAGTAAATCTAGAATATATTTTTGTTGTAAAACACTGATACCCCTTTTTGATATGGCCACTTCCATTCCCAAAAAATATCTCATTGATCCCATATCTTTCACTTCAAATTCAGCACCTAAACTTTCTTTTAGTCTACTCATCTCAACTGGATTATCTCCGGTGAGAATTATGTCATCAACATACACGATAAGAATAGTCTTTGTTCAATCTTGAAATAGTTAAAAAAACATAGTGTGATCTGACTGAGCTTGTTGATATCCTTGATCTCTCAATATTTTCGTAAACCTATCGAACCATGCTCGAGGTGATTGTTTGAGCCCATACAAAGACTTCTTCAATTTACATACCTTGTTTTCTTCATCTTTTGTGCTAAGACCTGGTGGTAGTGTCATGAAGACTTCTTCTTCCAACTCACCATTCAAGAATGCATTTTTAATGTCAAGTTATTGGAGTGGCCAATCCAAATTGGCTGCAAGAGATAAGAGAACTCGAATTGTATTCAACTTTGCTACAGGTGCAAACGTTTTTGTATAATCTATACCATAAGTCTGAGTATATCCCTTTGCAACTAGATGGGCCTTGTACCGTTCTATCGTTTCTTCTGCCTTGTATTTCACATTAAACACCCATTTGCACCCCATAGGTTTCTTCCCTTTTGGTAGTTCCATTATATCCCATGTTTCATTAGCCTCCAAGGCCCTCATTTCTTCCATCACAGCTTCCTTCGACTTGGGAACTTTCAGAGCTTCTTGGATATTTTTTGAAATTTCTGTACTATCAAGCTTAGAGACAAATGTTCGAAAACCTGGAGATAAGGCTTTGTAAGCTATGAATTTAGATATAGGGTGAAGAGTGCATGCTCGAGTTTGTTCCCTGAGAGCAATAGGCAAATTAATATCAGAAGGTTCAAGTATAGTTTCCAAAGTATCTGGATCTATTATCGGTTCAGACTCTTTTTGTGCCTCGAGTGTGAGATCTCCCTTATACTTTGATTTTGACTTCCTTGAGTAAACTAACATCTCTTTGTCTAGTTGTTCTTCTGCAACTCCCCCTGAGTTCAAGTTATCTTTCTTAGATGGCATGTTAGAACAAGGTGGTTCTCTAGACTCAGTAGATTCAATGTCTGGGATGGATTTAAAAGGAAAAGGAGAAATATTCAAAAATCGATCTTCATTCAATTTCTCCCCCTGAAGAGAGAGTTTTTGGAAGTAAGGAGTTTTCTCGAAAAAGGTGATGTCATAGCTGACCAATATTTTTTTGTGATTGGGTCAAAGCACTTATAACCCTTTTGTGTGGGTGAGTAACCAATGAATTCACATTTAAGTGCACAGGGCTCTGGTTTATTTTGATGATGAGAGTGTACGTGGACAATTGCTGCACACCCAAACACTTTTAGAGGTATGTGCTGAGGTCATACGAGAGTTAGGGAAGGATTTTTGGAACCTTTGTAAGGGAGATTCAAGATTGAGAGTACGACTAGGCATTCTATTTATAAAATAGGCTGATGTTAAAAAGCATCGTCCCGAAAGATTTTAGGCATGTTTGTAGTGAACATTAGGGCACAGGCAACCTCAAGTAGGTGTTTATTTTTCTGTTAAGCTATCCTATTTTGTTGGAGGGTATCGACAAAGGAGCTTTGGTGAATTATCCCATTTTCTTGAAGATAATCTTTTAGGGTATTGTTGAAATATTCTGTGCCATTGTCCGTGCGTAGAATTTGAACGTTGGTTTGGAATTGAGTTTTTACCATGGAGATGAAATTAATAAACACTGATCGGACTTCAGGTTTTTCTTTTAACATATACACCCAATAGAGTCGTGTATGGTCGTCGATAAATGCGAAAAATCATTTTGTGTAGGTGCAATTAGGGGTTCGTGAGGGTCCCCATACATTACTGTGAATCATGGTCAATGGTTTGGATGATTTGTATGTGGATTTCGGGAATGTGGAACGATGATGTTTTGCAAGTTTGCAAATTTCACATTGAAACTCAAAGCAATTTTTATTCGAGAATATTGAAGGAAATACATGTCTTAAGTATTGAAAATTGGGATGCCCCATTCTATAATGCCATAAAAGAATCTCACTATCCGTAGGAACAAATCCAGAATCACAACTAGCAATTTGATGTTGTTTACTCACATCCGTCTCGTCAAAGTAGTAAAGTCCTTCACATTCTTTTGCACTGCTAATCGTCTTCCCTGATAATAGGTCCTGAAAGATACATTAAGACGAAAAGAAATTAGCAAAACAATTTGAGGTTTTTGTCAACTGGCTAATGGATAATAAGTTACACGACAGTTTTGGGACATGGAGGACGTTGTCTAGAGTAATTGAATTAGAGATGGGAATACTCCCTTTTCCAGATATTGAAGAGAGTGAGCCATCCGCAATTTTGATCTTAAGGTTGCCTGCACAAGGTGAGTATGTGAGAAACAAATTTTGGGAATCCGTCATATGATCGGATGCGCCAAAGTCAATAATCCAAGGCACCTGGGAAAGGAATGCAGAAGTATTAAGAGCTCTCAAGGAATTACCTCTGTGGGCTAATGAACTTGTTGAACCAGAGGTTTGGAAGCTGGAGAATATTTTGTAAAGTTGATCTAGTTGTTCGGGATTGAATGCACTATTTGAAGTTGACGTTTTTGTCTTGGTGGCATTGACTGTAGATTGATAGGCGTGATTTCTGGAGTTTTGTCTTGGTTTCCAGTCTGATGGTTTTCCATGTATATCCCAGCACGTATTTTCGTCATGTCCAGGTTTCCGGCAATGGTCACATCATAGACATCCCTCTGTTTTGGACCTAGTCCTAATTTTATTCCTTTAAATTTTTTATTTGATCCGTTGGGCCCAACCATTTTAGGCCCATCCTTTTAACATTGGTTGCAATACCTTCCGGCCCAGTTCCATTTGTATCATGAATGGGCCCAAATCCAATTCCACTAACTGGCCCATTTAAATTGACAGAAGTAAGGGCCGACATTTCATTCCCAGCCGGCCCAACCTCCCTCTTCAACATTATTAGTCGCCAGCTTTCTTCACGTCTGACTTCGACGAACACTTCACGCGGTGATGGCAGAGGACGACGACAAAGAATTCTTCCATGCATGTCGTCTAGTTCTCTGTTTAATCCTGCCAAAAACTCGTAGACGCGTTCATTCTCCAACTGTTTCTTGTACCGGGTTCTGTCCTTCGAGCAATCCCACTCTTCTTCGACGCAGAGATCCAATTCTTGCCACAAGGTTGTCATTTCCATGTAGTACTCCGTCAGATCTCTTTCTCCCTGCTTCAATTGCCATAGCTTAGTTTTAATTTCAAAAATTTGAGATGAATCCTCGGCATCGGAGTACATCTCACGAACTGCCTCCCAAATATCTCGAGCAGTGGGCATGAAGAGGTAATTTTTACCAATTGAAGGCTTCATTGAGTTCATAAGCCAGGCCATAACCACAGAGTTTTCAGATTTCCACCTCTTTTGAAGATTTTCGTCCGTAGGCTGTTTTGCTTCTCAGTAAGGTATCCAGTTTTACCTTCCCCGTCAATGACCAATTTAATCGATTGTGCCCAATTCTTGTAATTTCTGCCATTGAGTTTTTCTATAGAGAGTTGGAAGGTAGAATTGTCCGATCCAAACGAACTCATGGTTGGGTTGAACTCTGTTTCTTCTATACTAGACTCAAAATTTGCTGAGTTTTGACTACTGGTGGTTTTTTCTGCCATTGGCCTGCCGGCTTTAGGTTAGAACCGGTGGCTCTGATCATGTGGAATGAATGAGAAAAAATATGATTTCTATTATTTTTCAATGAATAAATTACACGACTCTTATGTCTAATTTATAGTAGAAAGGGAATCAATAAAAAAGGAACATGATCTTCTAAATAAGGCAAAAATAAATTATTCCTAACTAAGATAATATACAAAAAATATTCACAATCAAATATCCCATAATTTTGGGATTTCTTCAATAATGTATTACTTGCTTGCTTCAAATTGTTTATTGATCTCAATACACAAGTAGTGACGATGATGTACAAATACCTCAGCTGACATTGACACACTAGCATGTGAGGTCTGGAGGCATTGGAATAAGGTCTAAAGGATTTCTAGACTTATAACAATGAATAACTTTGGACTGAACTCATACCTATAAATAAATTCACAAAATTGTTATATGCAATTTGATTGTTGGGAGGATCAAATTCCAATTCCCAATATTTTCCTTGAAAATGGCATGATTATGCAAATCATCAGGACTTTTTGGGTTGGATAAGAGTATGACACACAACATTTGACTGAGAGGTATAGGGAACAAGGGATATAATACCTAGATTCATAGGAAAAGTCCGAATACTATCTAAGGAGGTATTCTCGCTATCATCAAAGCCATCAAATTCTTCAAGATCAGGTCCATAGATTTTGTCTTCCAATCGCTCATCTCTTAGATTCTTTTGTTTTTCAATGACTAAGACTCGACTAGGACATTCAGAAGAGATGTGATCAAAGTCCTTACAGTTGAAGCACTACAAGTGAGAAAAAGCTCTTGGAATTTCAAAAAATTTACCCTTATTTTCCAATACAGGAGGAACATTAGACGAGAAATGTCTTTTGATAGACTTGAGAGAAGGCATCGATGATGAGTTTGGTGGAAGATGATGATCATGATTTTCTTAAGGAGTACTAATAAATAACTCATAATTTCGGGCCAAAGAGTAAGCGTGATCAAGAGTAGTAACACCTCGAAAGAAAAGCTCATGCCTAAGTTCACCTCTTAAACCTTGTATAAACCTACTTAAAGTCGAGGCCTCATCCTCAATGACATGACATTTCATTCGAAATTTCTCAAATTGAGCAACATACTCAGTTACTAACCGATTCCCTTATGTAAAGGTGTTCCATTGGATAAAAATTTCAGGATCTAAGCAACCATCGAAAGTAGGAGTATCTAATTTAATGTCTCTAAAGAAACGCTTTTTATGACGAGGAAGAGAATGAGTATCATGATGAGGCCTCGTTTTCGCTCACGAACTTGATCCCTATCTCTAAGATCGTGTTGAAAATATTTTTGATCGCCTTGTCGACGACGATATTGTCTATTGTGGAACAAATCAGAATTATTAACATCAGTCGAATGAGGGATTTGCTTAATATTGTTCAGACTAGCAACTAGATCTCTGTTCTTTTCACGAGTAGCAGTCATTTTGGTTTGGACAGCTGCTGATGGAGTTTGTAATTGTTGCTGGCTAGTGGCAAGTTGAGCTAATTGTATAGTGAGTGCATCAAATTGTGAAGAGTCTATATTTAGGTATTGAAAGTAGAATTGACAAGAAGAATTATCGACCACTATACATGCGCTGTATTAGAAGTTAAATGGCATGCAATAGAGAGATCAATGAATAGTAAGTGCAAAATAACAACTTGAACCTCCTTTTTTTTTTTTTTGTAATTTTTAATTTTTGGGATTAAATAAATCCAAAAATGGCAAGCTAATACTAGTGGTACATGTAAATTAGCAAAGCAAAAGTTCGACACTAGTCAAATTCTCCAATCATATTAATAAGTGGGGAACAATGCGAAGTCAATTCGTTCAATAATTTCGATCAAGTAAGGTTTAAGGCTAATATTATAAAGGTAATAACAATATAAAGAATTTAAATGATGCAATTTTAAAATGAAATAGTCGTATAAACCAAAGATAAATAGAGAAAGACTCCTCCTTGTTGAATTGCAGAGGCAGTGCCCACGAGAGCTTAAAGTTGCCAGCAATGTGCTCACGAGATTTCAATCCAACCAGTGATGGTGCAATCTATATTCCCGAGGATCTTCGTGTCTTCTCTCAATTGTAGATTGGGAATATTAATGAAAGGATTACTCCAATTCGTTTGCCTACGGATTTGGGTCAATTAGGTAATAGACTAAGGACCATTCTTGGGGTACATAATGGACACCATAATGGTGTCCATTATATTAAAGTAGCATTATTCATAGACTAATGGGCTAGAGTTTAGGTTGGAAAAATAAGTTGGGCTGGGAGATTAGAGCAGTTTAATGGATTAAGGTTTGCTTTTTGGACAACACCTTCAAGGATGACAGCAGCAAACAAAAAACGTAAAATGGCAACCTTTTTTTTTGGGCAGAAAATGATGAAAATACTAAGACTAATTTTTTTTTCACGGGTGTGAACAGTACTCTTTTTTCTTTTTCTTTTTTTCAACTAAGAAAGATAATTGAAAAAAGAAAAAAGAAAACTGTTGCCTCAACAAATTCTTTCGTTTATGCTATTCTACAAGTTTTGGGAAGATGATGGAAAGAAAGTTTTGGATTGTGGATGAGAAATTACCTAAGTTTTGGCTTTGATACCAAATTTGATGTAGCACCTATAGAATTATTAAATGGAAAATGAGAAAACCAATTAACATGAAGAAGGATTTAGGGGAAGGGATGGTAGAAGAAGAATCAATAGAAGAACCACTAGATGAAAGATGGGGAGAAGAAAAAAAATTGCTAAGGGAAGCTATGGTAGAAGAAGAATCAATAGAAGAACCACTAGATGAAAGATGGGGAGAAGAGAAAAAATTGCCACAAGCCACCACAATAATTTTATTCAATCATCAACTACTAAAATTACATAGCAAATTAGGTTTAAATAGTAGAAAAACAAAACCCTAATTAGAACGGGTTTGGGCCAATACAAGCCCGGTTATATAAATAAGAATCCAAAACAAAAATAAAGTCCACAAAACAAAATAAAGTCCAACTAGAAATAAAATAGATGATGTCCTCATTAGGTTGCTTTGATTCTCCTTCTAATGCAGGTACACTTAAAATCATCTTTATAATATATTTCTACCTAGATTTATGTACGCCCGTACAAATGCATGTATATATATCGTGCCTGTTTCCAATTCATATGCTTGAATCATGTGAAGAAGGGCGTTGTCGTTCTATTCATATTGAGTCTCTAGCCTCGTATTTTATCGTTAGCATTTAATTTTACTCGTGGAATTAGTATGGCCTGGTTTTTCTACTGCGTGGCATGATACCACTATTGCTTCCCTTGTTTGTTAAATGTTCACCATAAATATATTATTTGCACAGATAAGCATTCTTGTGCTATTGAGTCGACCTCAGCGGATCCACCTGATTCCTCAAGCAGACAGCATGAATGGCATGTACAGAGGGGAAACACTCTCTCTCCTTGATAAGCAACTGAAAATTCTCGAGTAGATGCATGTGGTCGAGACTTTAGTTGAGAAAAAGCAGCATGAGCATACTCTATTGAAAAGAAAATTGAAAGACTCGGGAGATCTTAAGAAACAGGAAGTAATGACAAAAAACTCTCTTTTCTGACGCAGCGAACGAAAGGAATTCAAGCGAAAACCTTAAGAACGAGCAATTTGGAATCTACCAAATAATAAAGAAAATAAACTCACGAATTTATTAATGAAAAGATGATAAAAAAAAAGAGCTAAGCCCTTATTTATAAGGGTTTACATGGAAACGTAGTTTAGAAGAACTAAAAACAATGAAAAAGAAGTTTAATCAAATTAGAATTCTTAAAAAACAAAAATAAATGAATTGCCAAAAATAGCGTTAAAACTTTAAAAATCAGTTTTTTAGGCCCGAACGAACTCGAACAGCCTAAATTCAACGTACATCAGAGCATAGCTGTGAGTATTGTTCCTCTCATCATTCTCCTTCCAAAATGGTCTTATGGGACCGATCTGGAATCAAGATGATTTATTTTTACTAGTACTCTTTTTTCAATACGTCCCTTATGTCCTACATCATTTTCTCTCTCTTTTTGGGCTTGCTCGTTCTTCAAGTTAGTCTTTGAATTTTAGTTTTTTCTACTACAGTTTCAATATGCCCCATTGCACAGATAATAAACATTCTCGTGTTATTGAGTCAGATGGATCCACCTCATTTCTCAAGCAGATGATGTAAGTGTCTAATTTTTCATTCTCAATTTAGACACTGAGAATCTAAAAGTAAATTTTTAAATCAAAGGTAAAAATGATAGCATTCGCATGGATTTTGATCTATATGAATTGCTAAAAGAATGGCTTGTTTTATGGAGTTACAAATAACAATAAAAGATAAAATTAGTCATAAATACATGACCACACATTTAAAAAAAAAAATCTGAAAAATATAAATTGTTAAATTATTATGTAGAATTAATAATAAGATCCCGAGTTTAAGCCTTACAAGCAAAGTAACCTTTAATAATAGATTTGTGTTTTAGTCGTACAAACAACGTAATCTTTAATAGTAAGATCATGAGTTTAAGTTGTACAAGTAGCATGAATATTAGTTTTAGAAGTCTTTATTTTTCACGCGACACGTTGCAAATCTTCATGCTTAATTTAATTTTCGTGCCTAAAAAATATCATAATTACTTGGATTTACAAGGACTTAATTGGGAAAAAAAAATTAAGTTCAAAAATTAATCTTCTATGCCAAAAACAAGAGAGAGAGAATGTATATATGGAGAGGAAGGAAATTTGTTCACGGCTTGTAATTCTGTTAAGATACAATTGGCTCAAATGATAGATTAGTATAAGTATTACCTTAAAATCTGGAAAAAGAGATTAAAGTGTAAGTTTGACTATATGTAACTGGTCCCATTACCTCTGCTTAATGAATGAGTAATTATTGAAGGGAAAGTGGAAGAGTGTGGTACTTAAAGTTAGCTGGACTTGGGGAATTCTATCTATTTCAATTTGTTACATGAATCTTGGTTTGTGGACGGTTTGGGTT